CCCCCGTGCTGCTAGCAGATCTACCATACTCGTATCCAGACACACGAACAGTTGCTTGCTTCTCTCAACAAGAAATTTCCCACCAACAATATTGGAGAATGCGAATGGTTTGACGGGTACGCCATTGAGAGAGATGTAGAAGCTGGGACTCTTAGAATCTCCCATAACACGTACATTGATAGCATGGTGAAACGCTTTGATGTACGATCGACCTACCGCATCCCTGCTTCCCCTGGTGTAGACCTAGGACCGAAGCGAGGTGACGAGAAGGGAGGGGAGTGGACGCTGAGGGAGGCCATCGGCAGCATGATGTGAGTGTCAACGTTCTCGCGTATAGACGTCTCGTTCGCCGTGCGTGCGGTAGCGCGCCACGCCCACGCCCCGGCGAAGGCACTGGGATGCCATACAGAAGATCCTCGGCTACCTGAAAGGGACGAGGGACCTCGGCATCACCTACCAACGGGGATCGGGGTTAGGGCTGGCCGTGTACGTAGACGCTAGCTACGCCGACACGGAGGATAGGCGTTCGGTGTCAGGGTTGGCGACGACGGTTGGAGGTACCGTAGTCAGCCATGGTAGCAAGACACAGAGCATCGTGTCTTTGTCTTCGACGTAAGCCGAGTACATTGCTGCCGGGAGGACGTCAAGGAGGCGTAGTTTGTGCGTGCTCTGCTTTCGTTTGTTGCCCCAGAGACCAGTGGTAGCAGCATCCAGGTCCTTGAGGACAACCAGGGGGCCATAGCTTTGGTGCAGAACCCCCTCAACTCAGGTCGCACGAAACACATCGACGTGAGATTTCATTTCATCCGCGCATTGTTTAGGTCGGGCGATATTTCGGTCAAGTTCGTTCCGGCAACGGAGCAACAAGCGAACCTCCCAACCAAGGCCCTTAGCAGGGCTAGTCTGCAGTACCACCGGCGCAAGTTGATGAATTTGCCGGAGTAGCTGTAGCAGTTTCTAGTACTTGGTCATGTTTTCCATGCGGGGAAAGGCACATAACCGTTGCGGTCTGTGTACCAATGGCAGGAGTAGCGGGCGTTGGGAGACCATCGTCCGGGGGAACGTAGTTCCTCGCGTTCTTGTCTTCGCCTTGGCCTTTCTAATAGGCTCGGCCGTTGTGATCCGCTGTGATAGCGACGGTTTTTATCGTGGTGGTAGGGTTTCTTTCGAGGGGTTTTGCCCGGACGCCGGGTTTCCCCCTCCATATATTATCATGTTGACCCCTTCTGCCCCTCGCTGCCTCGGGAAGGTTTTGCGTAGGCATGATCCATAGCGAGGGGGGAGGGGGGGGGTGTACTCATAGTCGTGCATGCCGTAGTCGTTAGACCATTGACC